GCCTCCACCCTATCTGTATGGTTGCTTCGACTGCCGCCAAGGTTGCGGTATTTGGCAAAGTCTAATTGGCTCACCACCTCCTTACTGTCAACAAATCCCTCTAGACTGCGGACATCATCCAGGATAAGATTGCCCTCCGAATTTTATAATGTTTATGATCTTCTGCGCCAGTCGTTTATCAATCCCCTGGATTTCACATAGTTCAGACCCAGTGGCCTCATTGACTTTCACCTCCTTATTCTCCATCCATCTCCATCCCCCAACAGTGTGTAGAATAAAATGACAAAAAACAATTTACCAGAATACAATATATATCTAACTAACAAAATACCCTTAGTCCTAATGAAAATAACAATACTATTCCTATTTCCCCTTGCAATAGCCCCTATGCTATTTGATATGACATGTACAAACTCACGAACTTACATGTCTGTGTATGAGTCAATACTGCACTGAGCTAGGAACTCGACCTGGTTTACTTACAACGATGGCTGACATCACTTTTCAATTCGGGAGGTCCCCCACGGTCAGCTACTGGACGACCAACTCGGACCTTTCCGAGGACCTCCGGAAACCTACGATCACTACAGTTATATAAATATGCTTCTACAACTGCGACAGTGAGTTTCATGACAATACATACTTACACATAAAAGTGATCGTATCGCTGAAAAACAAATGCAATATCTTGAATGGACTGTGTAAGATGTGACGAATCGTCACATGGCGCTGACCTGTGGCAGAGGTACTATGCTGGTCGCATGGAACTCTGGGTCGGAGAGCGCACACCCGCAATTGTTTCTGTCTACATGACCGACCAATCGAATTAACCAGATTAACGCTTGAAAAGGTCAGAATTTATGGCTCACCCTTGCCCAAAGCAAAGATAACCCTAAGACCGAAAAGGGGTGTTGGATCGTTGGTTTCCCTAAGACCGAAAAGGGGTGTTCTGGGATAATTCTAGGCTGGGGTGCTTTTAGCCCCTAAATTTGATAAAAGGCCACATTTTCAAATACAATTTGGAATTTTTAACATTGTGCGGGTGTTCCAAGGGAATATATATCAAATTTCACATAAAGGGCCCATGTCAGAAAATTCCTTGAGTGAACCCTGGGTTTTGGATCGAAAAGACATGTTAGTTTCCCTAAGACGGAAAAGGGGTGTTTGATCGTGGAGCTCGGGCTGTGCCTGGTAAACGTCATTATTGCTGAAGCACGGTAGCACTCGCAATATGGACGCCCCGTCGACCACCTGCCTATTTGTCAGATTGAGAAAGTTGACATTAATCAGGAACTTTATGAAATAATGACCACGCGATCTTCATGTTAGGTCCTAGCCAAGTAGTGGAGGCTCATTTGTTTTGAGGTGGAGCCTGATAGTAGTAGAAACAGTGTGTGTTGGTAGGACCAGGTCTCCATGGCTAGTTTAAGTGTTTCATATTGTTTGGAGCTTGGTTTATTATAATTAATAATTGATATGGAGATTAATATCGGAGCGTGGCACAGACCTAATTAGTGTTTGGTTTATGTTCAAAAGGGTTTGTTTGTCTGCAGCCCAGTCTGTACCACCGATGGCCCTCACCAGGTTTAGATCTTTTTAACATGAATCAACCCAATTAAAAATATGGGATGTCCGTCTTAGCTGTTGGTCAAAGGAATTTTGTTTCAGGAAAGTAATGCCTTTGTTATGTAGGTGCATGTTGAGTGTATAATTTGGCATATATTTGTTTCTTAATAAGATTCTAATGGGGTTTTTTTAAATCAATTTAAAATCCCCATTCAGAAGTCCAATTTTCAACATAATTTTGTACAGGTTATCTTTGGTTTTTTTGGCTTGACTTATTGACTTAGATGAAGTCCAAAGTGATAGGTAATCCATAAGTTAAGACGTTTTTTTTATTGACCAGGCATCTCTCCATCGCATTTGAGGCCATACCCTGTGTTGGCGACACCAATGCAGTCGTTGTTGACGATGCTGTCCACTCAATATGATGTGTCGAACAGGATTTCTTGCTCGTAGACCTGCTGCTCTTAAACGGTTTCGTATGGTCTGGTCGGAGATTCTGTGCAGTCCTGGTATTTTGGATGCCGTTGAGGTGGCTGTGGTCGTCCTTTCACGTAGGTGGCGCAGTCGGATGTAGCGATCTTGGGCGGGGGTGGTTACGCTTGGTCGTCCTGACCTTGGCCAATCACATGTTGGCCCATGCTGTCGAAACTGATCCCTTAGCCGTGTGATGGTGCTGTATTGAAAACCCTGGCTACAGCTGATCAGAATGACCTTGCCTGCATGCGGCCTATGACGTTGTTTATTTGCACTTCTGTTTATTATCCCCCGCCGCGCGAAAGCGCGAAGCGGGGGATATAGTATTCACGACCGTCCGTACGTCCGTCCGTCCGTACGTCCGTACGTCCGTCCGTCCCACCTGTTTGTTGCCGCGATATCTCAAGAACTAAACACTGGATTGTCTTCATATTTGGAACTATGGTGTATATACAGACTCCGCAGACACCAGTCGGTTTTGGTGACCTTGATCCCATTTTCAAGGTCACAGCAGACAAATCTGCTTTTAGAGTTGGAAAACGGTGTTGCCGCGATATCTCAAGAACTAAACACTGGATTGTCTTCATATTTGGAACTATGGTGTATATACAGACTCCGCAGACACCAGTCGGTTTTGGTGACCTTGACCCAATTTTCAAGGTAACAGCAGGCAAATCTGCTTTTGGAGTTGGAAAACGGTGTTGCCGAGATATCTCAAGAACTAAACACTGGATTGTCTTCATATTTGGAACTATAGTGTATATACAGACTCCGCAGACACCAGTCGGTTTTGGTGACCTTGATCCCATTTTCAAGGTCACAGCAGGCAAATCTGCTTTTAGAGTTGGAAAACGGTGATGCCGCGATATCTCAAGAACTAAACCTCTCGATTGTCTTCATATTTGGAACTATGGTGTATATACAGACACCGCAGACACCAGTCGGTTTTGGTGACCTTGACCCCATTTTCAAGGTCACAGCAGGCAAATCTGCTTTTGGAATTAGAAAACGGTGTTGCCGCGATATCTCAAGAACTAATCGCTGGATTGTCTTCATATTTGGAACTATAGTGTATATACAGACACCGCATACACCTGTCAGATTTGGTGACCTTGACCCCATTTTCAAGGTCACAGCAGGCAAATCTGTTTTTGGAGTTGGAAAACGGTGTTGCCACAATATCTCAAGAACTAATCGCTGGATTGTCTTCATATTTGGTACTATGGTGTATATGGCGGGGGATATTTCGTCACTCTGTGACAAATACTTGTCTTGGCATGTTTTTGAACTGTCACTGTTCGATTGGCGCAGGTGCCAGGCAATCAAAAAGCCTGCACTTTAATACCGTTCATAGTGCTGCTGCACATGTTGTGCGTGCAGAACCATGGCCCTATTGTAAATGCACTGGGTGCGTTTGTCCAAATCGTACGTGTCTCCCGACTAATGGTTTGCATGTCCTTGTTGTGATCATTTTGATCCAGGAAATTTGTCACTGACATTATAACACATTAAACCTCTTCACATTTGCACCAATTGGTCCTCTTATTTTTTTCTTTAATGGCCAAAAATATCTGTTTTGCGTTTCTTTTCTTTTTAAGGATACCGGGTATTTTATCTACAGTTTGACGATTTGGAGTAAGTTGGAGCAGTTGTTTATTCAGTAGGTTTTGTTTATTGGTTTACAGTCAAATTTATAAACTACACCTTTAGTTTGCCGCTATTACAGTAAAATAAAGAAAGTTTTATTCATAAATTGTGTCTTCTTTGACTGCCTTCTGATTCATTTTACAACAGCTGAAGAGCTAGTTGGAACGGAGAAAAATGTAGTTGTTGAATTTTGCTTCTTGCGTGTCATGATGTCCAGTCAAGAAAGATGAAGCAACAACACCAACACCACGCTCTCTACCGCTACACTTTGGTCTAAGAACATTTTATTACTGGTGACGTCGGAATGACCTTGTATCCGACCAAACAGAGTGTCGCTTACGAGATTGCGAAAGTGAATGTCTGAATGTGTTTTCTGATCATGCGACCTCGAAAAGTTAAACACGAGGCATTACAAACTATAGTTACGGGCTGTACGACTGATTCCGTCAAAATCATTGTCCATCTCTTGCTTCAGTGGAAGAGACTTTCCATAAGCCACGAGAGGTACTGGCATACAATCTTGGCCATCTATTACTATAGTATTAAACATTCAAGAAATTCAAATTTTGAATCGAGAACTGTCACCAACGTCACGACTGTTCGTATACGCCTCTCTTCGGGGTTGGGGTGCGCATGTAGAGGAACAGCGGCCTCAGGGATGTGGTCCGACATGAAGCGCACATGGCACATCAACAACCTGGAGTTGGAGGCGCTCATCTTAGCAATATACTCTGGCAGGATCACCTCCAGAACATCCAGCTCGCCATCTCAACCAAAAACATCATAATGGTGCGGTTTCTTAGAAGGTTTATGAATACCGTATTAGAAATCTAGGCTGATCTGCTGCTAGTGTTGCATAAATCAATGCTGTATGGTTGTAAAAAGTATTTATAACGTGCACATTTCCACAAGAAATAAGCATAACAAATTACACATATATTCCACATCGATTAGTGATGTCATATGGAAACTATAGCTTAGAGGTATTGAGGGCGCTGCTGTGTGAACAATTCATGGTTTTATCACACTGTGTGCATGTAGACATTATTTAATATCAGGTTGCATTTTTCAAATGTTGCTCAGCTGCATGTGTTATATAGCTAAATCGAGCCCTGGTAGAGATATGATCTACACTATTCCAGTAATATTTCTTATTTTTGAGTATTTTTAAGTACCCGTTTGTATTTACAAGCCACCATTAGATATCTGGAATATTGCTGTGTATCGAGAAAAACAACAAATAAACAACCTTAGTTTCAAATAGTTCACTAAATATTTTGTATTTCAGTTGTGACACCTTGGTAAAAGAAGGATGACAACAAAACGAAAGAATGATGGAGCCACAGTACCTCACAACATAAATATAACAGGTAACCATACCCTCAGCACTATGAATGTTTTGTACCAGATAGAACCAACCATTTGGTCGTTACCTCATCTGAATCTGTTTAATCAGTATTGTATAATTGCCTTTACATTTATGATCCTGTATATTTCTTCACTTACTGTTTTTTTCTTTTCCAATTACATAAAGATTATTATGTACATTCCAAGTGTTTATCAAGGCCATCATAATGTGAAGAAACATGTTGTATTTTGGTGATATGAATTGATGTTTTTGTTTGCTTTTAGGAGGGAATAATATAAAACAGCAGAATGTTGCCAATTTCGTGTATGGTGGTATGGGGAATACCATCAACAACAGTAAGTATACCATAACTTCTTACGGACATGATTTGCCCTGATATAACTGGAATAATGTTAAAAGCGGTGTTAAACCCAACTCACTCACTCACTCACTCACTCACTCACCCATATGATAACTAGGGCCAATTTGCACAAACATATTTTCATACACTGCAAACACGAAAACGTCGTTTTTTTCAGTATATGGTCATTGGACGGAAAAATAACTAAACATTCATTAAAATTGATTAATTGGTTAGCGTCTAGAAAGTGTCCGGAAAAGCGTTTTTCAAGCGTAAAATGGACGGAAAAACGATGCTTTTTGCTCGGCCTTGTACAACTGTTAACGGCCAATCAGATGGCGCTGGTCCCCCGACGCACGTGATGCCCAGGGCTTCCTTTCGGAAGCATTAGGTTTCGTATTTCTGGCATGCCTTGCTCTAGTATCTGTCGCACGCAGTGCAGCGAGATTTGCTGATTCGTCAGTTTTAGGATATGTAACATGTTAATGGAATTCAGACACGCGCCAAGAAGTCAAACCAAACCATGTTACCAAGTTTATTGAGATAACATATCCCTCCGCTATGCACAGTTACCTCTATTGGATCATGGGTTGTGTTTCATTTGGTTATAACAGTAACTAATATTGTAATGTGAAGTTAACACGATAAACGGCTTTTCCATAGGACAAGAGGTGGGTCACATGATATTTTTCACGTGACTGTATTCTTGAAATTACGTAAACACATAAAACCCTGGAAATTCCTAGTACATTGTTTCTCATCATTTAGACCCTTTAATTTTGAACATAGCGTCTTAGCATACTCTGGGATAAGTCATAGAGTGTGGTTGCATGCCCGTTCAAGGATACCCTCGCTACAACCCATCCTAGAGAAAAAAAACAAAAAAATTCCAAACTGTCGTTGTGACTATCTACAGCAATCTATGAATGTACCTTAGTATCTATTTGGCACATCTTTACAATCACCTTTCAATGATCCAATTGATCAGTGATGACAAAGGCTTGAAATCGCCACAGATTAATTAACAACTTCGGAAATATCTTCCGTCACGTTTATCGTGTCGGCCATTTTGACGTCTTGTACTTGATGTAAATGTATTACGACGCTCTGTCATTGTGATTGACTTACTGAGGTAGTGCTTAACAGACCTTCTCATCTAATGAGGCTAATGTTTGGAATACATTTCTTGTAACTAAACTAAAACAGATTTTGGGGAAACTCTTTTTTTCCGGAATGGCCTATTAAAGCTAGTCAAGGTGCAATGCGTGTTTATGATCTGTTATTATATGTGTTTAACAAATACGGTTTTGGGCGTTAATAAAATACACTGACGCAAGTATATTCTTATCAAATCAATTGGACAATTGAATATGCTTTATTTTACATATTACATAACATCACTGCACAAAATTTGGACAGTTGCAGTAACACACTACGGTGATCGCATTAAACACATTTTTGAACAGTATTTCAGTTATATCGCGGTGTATCACTCTCATGTGGGATACAAATCCGAAGTTCAGGCCATCCAACGGGTGTTCGCGAAAAAGGTGAGCGTATCCTGCCACACAGGTGGCACCCGTCACAAACACATGCAAGGACAAGTCAAATGTTCACCTGAACAAAGCACGGAAACACAGTGATGCTCGCCTCACTATTACCGAGCATGTAAATTATACTGTCAGTCAAAAACTCACCACCCATCCCATTATTGATGAGAGCTATGAAATCAGAAGCTGCTATGGCGCATTTTTACACTTTATCTCTTAATTGGCATGTTAGACTTCTATTTCATAACTCAGTTATATTTGTACGGATCACTATGGAATCTTGGAAGGGACATTGTCGCCCTTACAAAAACAAGTAAAACGTGTCAAAATTAACCAAAGCGCGACAATTCGACAACGCGACATTTTGGCCATTTGTCGCATTGTCCTGTTGTCGCATTGTCGCTTTTTTAATAATCTTTTTCTATATTTTACAAAAGGGCGACAATGCGGTAACGCGACATTGTCAATGTCAAAATATGTCGCCCCATCACAAATGTTAATGTTACAGTTAGGGAATGGTAACCAAGTTATATCTGTCGTACAAGTTCAACCTGATACATGTTCGTCTTGAATTGAAGACACAAGTCCGTCCGCGAATCCATAACGTTTTATTGTGAGCTCTTCTCAAAAAGTGCTAAGTGTTCAACTCCCAGTTCCAAACACATTTTACCTCATCAACAATCCACATACCTCTAGTGCAGTGATCGTCTGGAAAATCTTACTCTTGACCCTATAAGACAACTGACGAATGCACGCCTGACCTGTGACCTCGTTACACCCCCCCATGAGGTGTTTGCTGAAGAAAGAGGGATAGGAAATGTGTGCTCCAGCCCATGGCGGAGCTCGCGACAAACTGTATACTGCATGTTGTATACGGTATATTGCAGTTGATATACTGTATACTGCATGTGATACTGATTTGCGGAAAATCGGGGAGCAAACCGGTCTTGTTATTGTGTGGTGTGAGCTGTGACGTAGACCCAAGAGAATAAAGTAATGAGACCAACGCAAGGCTACAATGATTGGGAAAGTCTAGATTTCCACAGCTCTGAAATTAAGAATTGTTCTGTCCTCCTTTTTAATTTTATTATCTTTATTTTGTAGACATGGATAGACCAACCAGGAAAGAAATTGATGGAATATTAATATCACATGTCACCAATGATCCAATTAAATTCATCATACAATAACATATTAGTATTTGATATTACGAAGGGCATGATCAGGTACATGTTCACTGTAGTAATGTACATACTAGTCAACTTGATTATAATGTTTATTATAGTGTAGAACGGCATCAGCGATTACTATATGATATCCTCGCTTGTCATCAATGTATTGACATCGAACAATGGACGATAATTCGAAATTTTTATTCGAGCTATAAATAGCTTCAACAGGGACAGTACCGGTGTCAGTAAAATCTACAAAATATAATTTAAAGGAGCCAATAACAATATTGTTTTATTAATGCTTACTTCCAGGGATAGAATTGATAATTGTAATCGGATATATTGTGGAGTTTCAGGTTTGGGTTGTTTGCTGAATAGAACAAGGGCTCACGGACAAGGACACAATGTAGAGATTAAAGCATTACCACCTCTGTTTATATCAGATATGTTATTGTGATTTGAAATCTCTTTTTGAACAATTGCGAGTTATTGTATACTCTGTATTCTTTCGTCATGGTAGAATATATATTTTCTATGTTGCTTTTTTAATTATCCACAAATAACTACAATGTTAACACCTATCTGGAGATATACAATAATACAACTAAAGGGCATATCTGAAAAATGGTACAAATAGACAAATATTTCATTCTTAAACACTGTCCGTTACAGGCATTCTAATCATTATATTATTCTTCGTTTAGTTTAAAAGTTGAGAAATATTGCATTTCAAATAATGGCAAATTGTGTATCTTCCTACATTTGGAATTGATTGGAATTTCTGCAATAAAACCTTAACATCAGACAGTGATATAAACGAATATGATGTATACTGTGATAAATGAATTATTAATTTCGTATTATTTAATTTATTGTAATATGATAGTACAAACCAATTATTTTAATCTGTTCGTGTGAGTAGGTAACGAAAGATCGAGGCAACTCACTAACGTAACCATTTGTGAAAAATCAAATATTCAAAGTTTAGGGGTTTGGACATGTGCATTGAATAACAGACAAGAAAGCAACACAATGATTAAATTATGAATAAAACTAAATATATAGAAAAATAGTAGTTTAATTTCTCATTGTTGTAAGGTGTTTAATATAGTTTTTGTTTGATTGTTTGTTGTTAAACGCCGCACTCAACAATATACCAGCTATATGACGGTGGTTTGTAAATAATCCAGTCTGGGCCAGACAATCCGGTTATTGACATCAAGAGCACCGATCTACGCAATTGGGATACGATGACATGCATCAACCAAGTCAGCGAGTCTGACCACATGATTACGTTAGTCGCCTTCGTACAAGCATGGGTTGTTGAAGGCCTATTCTAACCCGGATCTTCTTGGGTATTTTTTTTAATAATAAGGTACAATGACATTCTGTATATGTCCATAATAAATGTGTATAAGTAAATGGATAAATTATCCATACACACCAATTAAATGGGTTAGACTGCATATGGTTCAATTATGAACTCTTTTACAAGTCAATATTTCAAGACATGTATTTGATATTCATAATAGCTCCACAAAAGCTACACAATGACGACAAGACGGTACCAGCATCACAGATTCCTATATAACATTTTTGAACATGAGATACATATAATTACTTTAAAGTTAAATCATGTATCTAAATAGTAAATTAGAAGGATTAAAGATATACACTTCCGATATTTTTCGTATTTTATTTTCGTTTGGAGAGAGAAGTAGTGAAGGTAGTGACTGGTATCTGATGGGTGCAAATAGGTGTCGAATCGTTGTCTCAGATGGCTCTAATTTCGTAGCTCTAAAGATCACGACGGCGATACAGACCGTGAAGTAGTTTTTATCACAGTCTCTGAAGCATATTGTTTTCCCTTCCGTCCAGGCCTTACTGCAATGCTATAAAACCAAATGTAGTCCTGCACCATGACCGTGGAATATATTTATTTGATGAAAATAAATAAATCTAGAAACGCATACAAAAGCAAGTCTAGCCAGCTCAAGCTAGCTCTATCCACACATAGGGATTTTTCTATTTTTTTAGAGTCAAGAAGGATATTGTGTAATTTAAGATTTCAGAGACTAAATGTTAGTCTACCCCAAATGAAACAAGCCTAGATGTTCAGCAGGTTCAGGCTGAAATTTCCATTTCACTAAATTTAAATATAGTTTCTCATTTTAACCAAAATAATATATTTTCAGAGACTAAGCGTTAGTTTAACCGTGAAGTACAACTATCCAAAAGCTTCAATGCATGTCTATATTTCTTCAGACAGACTC